AAAAAAAAATTAGAAGAAATATTTATAATTCAGTAAACTTTTTATTCTGGGTTAGCGTTAACGGGCTTTCGAACAACCCGTTCCTTTTGTCAATCTCGCTGTTGAGTGCTTGGGTATAAACTCATTCCACTGACGGGCAAACATTGAAAGAAATTTTTAGCGGTTAGTATGATGAATCAATTTTGTTTTTAACCTCAGAATGAAAGGGTTAATACCCTCATTCAAGCAAATCAGCAACACGCTCACTCTAGCTTAGTGCAAGGTTTGTTGTAAACTTGGAGGCAAAGGGGTATTTCTTTCTTTCCTTCAGGGGAAGGAATGAATGCATTGAGCCTAACAACTGTTAGTAACTTTATTTATACAAAATAATAAAATAAATAAATACACACTTCAATCTCTTTTACAGGGGTATAGTAATTAATATTTACATTATTTTCGGGAACTTATAGGTCGGGCGTTATTGTAAATATCTGTTAGTCTCGTTCAACAAAATTGCTCAAAATAAGCTTTTTCGTGCGGAAGATGCAGTTAAACAGGTTTTTGAAGAAAACCGGTAAATCCAGTTCGGCAGGTTTTAGTGTGAAAGAGTTCTCTAATTATAAATAACAAAGCACTTCTTTTCCTAATTACTCAGTCCATAGCTCAGTTATACTCTTGCTCGCTAAACACTTCAATGTCCCGCGCTTTCTGCAACTCGTCGTCCATATTGGTCAGGCTGCTAAACACTGAATGAATATATCCTTGGCTTTTCTTGAGTCGTTCCGAGAGCTCTTTGAACTCCTTCTCTTTAATTTCCGCGCGCTTATCAGCCTCTTTATAATCCAACCACAGGCTGTTATTTTCCTGTTCAAGTGAGTCAAGCTTGTTTTTCAAGGCGCGCTCTTCGTCTTCAAAGGCGGTCTGCAAATTTTTCAACTGTTGTGACTTCGCAATCAGTTCAAGTTCTTTCTCTTTGAGAATTCCGACCATTCTTCGGAGCTCCGAGTTGATCTGGTCTTTTTCCGACGAAAGTGCGTCGAGTCGGTTTCGGAACGAGATTTCGTGCTCCGAAGCCGTCTTCGTGGCTCGTTTCAGATCTTCGCTAATTGCGTCATACTGCGACTGTTTTCGACTGAGCTCTCCGTTTAACAAATCCATTTTCGACTCGACAGAGTTCTTTTCATGTTCAATCTCTGCCAAAGAGCCAATGAGGTGCTTGATACTCTTTTGTACATCCGAGAGTTTTCTTTTAACTAGATCCAGCTCCCCGATCGCGTATTTGCCATCAATGGCGTCTTTGACGTTTTCTGAGCCAAATTTCTGCCTTGTCTCATCTGGCGACACAACAGGCTGTGCATGTTGTCTTATGGTGTTTTCCAAGCTGTTGAAATATCCACTCATTTTCAATTCCAACTCCTCTCTGTTTTTGTCAAGTAACTGTTTAATGACCTCCACCAAGTCCTCGCCATCTCTGCTGTCCATCAGGGTATTTGTTTCCTGGGAGCCTGTTTGGTTGTCCTCTCGTGGCTCTTCCTCATGAAAGTCCTCAATTTCATTCTGCGCGAGAGCTCTTTCGATAACTTGCCTGGACCTTTTCCTGACCTTTTTGAGTGCCATATGCGCCCTTTTGACTTCATGGAGTTCCTCCGCTTTTTTCTCGAACCGTTTCTTATCTGTCTCAATCTGTTGAAGAATGTCCTCCACATCGCCTTTGAAAGCTTTATAAGCAACTTCTCTCTCGTAATTATCCCACGACATCTCTGCTCTTATGCTTGCCTCCAAAGGGAAATCTTCGTTTCCTTCTATATCGCTTTCTTCTTCTTTCAATGGTCGCCCTAACTCGTTAACCACCGACTCCAGAAGCGACTTCAAAAGCGACATCCGCTTAGCAACCGTTTCGAACACATGCGCATGACTGATGACATCTTTGGCTCCATTCGAACAGCCTTGAAAGTACTCTTGCAATTGCCTTAGATCGCCCAGGCACTTCTGCGCATGATCTTTCAAACCCTCGTGCTCCGTGAAGAATCGTTTCACCATGTTAAAAAAGTTCTCTTTTTCTAGCAGTTGTCCTCTTCTCAGATTCCCGTCACTCTCCGGTTGATTTCCTTTCTGTCCAGTTTCCAGTTGTTGCACCATCTGCTGCACGCGGCTCGTGAATTCTTCACTGCTCCGTCTTTCTTTAGCTACTTTCTGCTTCAGTGCTACCTTCTCGGCCGTTAGATCCCGTATACAAGCCTCAAGGTCCCGGATCTTAAGCTCGTAGGAGTCTTGTTGTTCGCGAAGTTTTTCCTTCAGTTGATCACAGTTAGAGCACTTCTTGGCTACCTATGAAAGATATAAATACTGATCCTTTAACGGGTTAACGTTATTATTGATCGTTACTGTCGAACGAGGACTATCCAATTTACGCAAGAGGCTATGATTTACGTCCCTTTTCTAAACGCTTAGAATGAAGTTAATGAACAATAATATTACGGGAGAACATCAAGTATGTTAACAAAAAACAGGTGTCATTTATTCAGTTTCCGTTCACGTTATATCGAAATGACAGATTTCCCTACCCCCTTCATATACCTCAGCCTGTGAAATCCCTACCCTTTCATTTACCTGAAGGCTGATATACCTGTATGGGCCGTTTAGGGAGTATCCCCCCCCCTCCCCCCGGGGATAGCGTTAGTTCCTTGAAGAAACATTCTTATACCGACCTTGTCTCGTGATGTTTGATCGCCATTATCCTTCAAGTCCTCTCTGTTGCTCGGCTCCGGTCCTTCCCCTGTTTCATTCTGCCACAGGTCCTGGCCGATATCGATGTTTTGAAACTTCTTCCTGCAATCTTCTAACGCCTTCGAAACTCGACGGTAAGACCTCTCAGCATTCATAAACTTTTGTCCCGTGTGTTCAAGTTCTTCGTTTAAGCGGTTGTTCTCCGAGGTGAGAATTTCAACTTTCTCTCCCAGAAACCTGAGTTGGTTTTGCTTCTCTTTATAATCATCCTCGAGCGCTTGTATTCTATGGTCTTTCTCCCTCAATTGCTTGGTCGTAGCGAGATGAGATTCAGTTGCAGCGCTGTTTTGCCGCCTCAGGTAGTCGAGCTCTTGGGTTAATTTGGCATTTTCCTCTTCCAGGGTTTCTACTCTGTCCCGTTTAGCTTTCACTTGGTTTAATCGTTGTGTCAGGTCTGTCTCCAAAGTTTTGATCTTGTTTTCGGAATCCTCAAGCGCTCTACTCAAAGCAACAAACCTCTCTTTGGTCTCTTCAGTATTGCGTTTCTCGCTCTGAATCTCCTCGTACAGCTGTTTACCCTTTTCTTCCAATGTTTCCACTCTGTTATGAGTATTTCGTAACTCTCCTTCGGTCCTATCTAGCTTCGCTTCCAGTCTGGCGATCTCTTTTTCTCTAGTCTTCAACGTTTGGGATGTCTTCTTGCACTCCGCATGAGATGCGGCCAACTTCTCCATAACCCTCTCTAACTCTTTCTCCTTTTCACGAAGCATACTTTTCAAATGTTCCACCTGGGACTTGAGTTCTTCACTGTCGCTTATCAGAGCATTATTCTCTCTCTTCAAGATCTCCAAGAAGGCACTGCTCACAGCTTCTGCAGACGTTAAGTCAGCGGTATCTGTGATAGGCTCAGCCTCGTTTTCAACCATGGACTGGTTCCTTGAGTGTGTGGTCAATAACTCGTCTCGCTGCCGCAGCTGATCCCTCAGAGCTTCGTTTTCTTGGTAAAGGTTGTCAACTTTCTCTTTGGCGACTAAAGTTATTGAAAATATGAGCAAAGAATTCAGATGTTATAGCAATTTTTTTAATCTAGCACCCAGGCCTTGTTGGAGAGGCCTAGGCCTCATGGTTAGTACGCTCGTCTCCGGATTGAGCGGTCTGGATTCGAGTCCTGACTGGAGACATTGCGTTGTGTTCTTGGGCAAGGCACTTTATTCCCACCGTGCCTCTCTTCACCCAGGTGTACAAATGGGTACCGACCAATTCAATGCTGGGGGTAACCCTGCGATGGACTAGCATCCCATCCAGGGGG